CTCGATGGGCCGAATGGCCTCCTCTCGTTTGTATAGTTCTTATGTTCTTATGTTCTAATATATGCATGTTGTTCAGTAAAGTGCACAGTGGGCCAAATGGATATTTTTGTGTTAACCTGTATGTGATTCATTTGGTGTGTGTGTTCAATACTAATCCTCTTTCTCTCTCACTGACTCTCCCTTTACTTCTGCAGAGTCCTGGTCCTGCACTTAAAAAGATTCAGTTTCACGCCACAATACAAGCTGAAGAAAGTGCAGGACCCGGTTCTCCTCTGTCGGGAGGTCACCTTGCTCCCCCACCTCAGTGAGGAGATCGCTCAGCTGACGGTGACTCCCCAGACAGAGGAACCTCCACTGGAAGAGGCACATCTGTAAGTCTGCATCTGCATAGAGACTTACAGTAAATGCCAAAATTAGAGCAGACACATAATCATGCGCATTGTCAGTTCATAAAAACAATGGGATTAAATAGACCAACAGTACTTATACACATTTGTACTTGCATGAGCAATAGTCTGATTGCATGGATCTCCTGCAGGTCAGCTGAAGGACTAGAGCAAGGGGATCATCGGGGTTCAGCCGTCAGGTTGAGTAACGGGGAAATTGAGCCCCCAAAAACACAGAACCTGACGGTGGACGTCCCAGATGATGCCCTGAGGATGCTCGGCGGGGATGGGGCAGCTCCTGTGGGGAAGGAGAGTGTTACACTCTGCAGGAGCGCGTCGAAAGTGGAGTCACCGCCCCCTTCAGGTACACCTGGGCAAATGACTGGGCTCAGACACATAACAGGCTCCTGTATTTTAACATTATGGATTGTTGTGGCAGATGCACTGATAAACACCATCACAGAGAAGTGAATAAGCACTTTAGGGCATGCTTCCATTATACGTAACCGTAACATTCTGGGGATTGAGTCATGGCAACTGGACATCTCTCTGAAAGGTAGAAACGTTTCACAGTGACTCAAGAAGCTGCTTGGATGAGCTGTGAAACGTTTCACCTTTCAGAGAGAAGTCCAGTTGCCATGACCACCAGACAGTTTCACCTGGATGACTGAGAATCTTCACAGACATAACCATAACATCTGTATTACACAGCAAATTATATAGAGGAATTTACCGTTATTTTGGTTAAACCACTTATTTTATCTATGGCTACAGGAGCAAATGTCATTTCACCTCTCATGTGATTGTGTTTGGTTTCTCCTATGATTCCCATCCCCCTTAAACAGACAGAGCAGAGACTTTGACAGAGCAGCGTACACCTGCACTGCTAAGGGTAGGGAGAGATAGAGGAAGATACGTGAGGGAGAGAGAAAGAGAGAATGACGTTAGAATATTAGTGAAGCAGAGTAAGACAAGAGAGTCAGAGAGACTGGAGATGCAGAGTGGTGGAGCTTCCTTAGAGGGAGGTGAAGTTGACGATGACTTTTCTCTTCAGAGAGGAACAGAGACACAGCCTGCTGCTCAGGATTATCGGCTCGTCTCCGTTCTGAGCCACCTAGGCTCCAGCGCCACCTATGGTAAGATGCATGTACGCTCACACAGACCTCAGACAGGTTCTGTTTTTTAAGACGACCTTTATTCACTGCAAAGAATCACATGCGAGTGCTGTAATGTCACCCACTACTGTCATACACATTTGCGTAGCAACAGTCAGGTAGGGAAAATGCTTATATGAGAGTAGCTGCGCGAAAATGTGTATACTTAAGATGCTAAAGTCACGTGACCCAGAAGAAATATTTTAAAACATATAATCAGAGTGTGGCCAAAGGAGGAATCACAATGGTACCAGTAACTGTCATACATCTCTTTCCTGTAGGTCACTATGTCAGCAACGCCTTTCATGAGGAAGAAAAAGGCTGGCTGTTATTTAACGACCATAAGGTGAAGCGGTCAAACGAGGCATCGGTGCTGAAAAAGAGGGCCAGCAGTGCATATGTGCTGTTTTACAGCCAGCAGGTAACCAGAGAAACACAATACACTCTGTTACACCCAGCAGCCAAATGCAGACAGCGGACACCTTTCCCCTACTCACGTAGTTACATGCCTCATTGCAGCACGTCACTGTCCGAAATATAAGATTGAATGCTTTGTATTTTATGCTACACTATTAAAAGACTGTTGGCTGTACCACTTGATGCATATGTAATGTCAAATACGTGTTATTCTGCAGGAATCCTGACACTAAAGGCCCTGATGCCTCCATATTGAGGAGCTAAGCTTAAAAATCAGGTAAACCCCGAGAATTCAGGTTTTGTCAAACCAAAGGAGGAATCACATGGTACCAGTAACTATCAAATTACAGGTACTGAAGGACATGGAGGAGGTCCAGAGGAGGAGGTCCAGAGGCAGAGGTTTACTGGTGCTTATACCTGCACTAAATATCACCATCAGCTGGAGATAATGGACTTCAGTAATACTATAATACTCAGGAATGGACTTCAGTAATACTATAATACTCAGTAATGGACTTCAGTAATACAAAATACTATCCTGATGGGACACATCTCCACCTGGTTTGTGAACAGCACAATGCAGGACAGACATGCTCTCCAGAGAGTGGTGCGATCAGCCGCGCGCATCGTTATTAGAGAGCTTCCTCACCTGTAGTCTGTCTACATCAAACGGTGCTGAACCAGGAAGATCATGGACGACCTCAGCCACCCCAACAATGGAGTCTTCTCCCTGCTGAGGTCAAGGAAGTGATTTCGTTCCCTAAAGGCCAACACAGAGAGAATGAGGAAAAGCCTCTTCCCTCAAGCTATTCGGTGTCTGAACCAGGACAATACGCAGGATGCGAGAGAGTGACAGTGATGGAGTGACATCATCAACCCTTCACTCTCCTCCCCTTGGAGATGTTGCAATAAACATTTCACTGTAGGTTGTACTATGTACGATGATGCATGTGACAAATAAAATTTGAATTTGATTTATCAAAGGAAATAAATAAAGGAATTGAATGACAAAGAATGAAGTATGGCTTTTCTTATTAAAGCTGAAATACTCCCAGTTTGGGTAACTTTTGAGGCTTCGTCCTCGTCACAGTGTGACAATGTCTCAGACAGACAGAGCTGCTCTTTCTTCCCAGCCTGCCTTGACCAAGGACTGTGCCTGTTGGCCAATCCCCACTGTTGCAGGAAAATATGTCACATGACAACCAGCTAATGTTTATGAAGCTTCCCTCCAAAATATATAGGTGATATTTCTCATGATGTTGTCGGCTCCGTTCAAATACAGTTGAGTCATTTCGAGTCAAGCTCACCTGAGTTGCATCTCGAAATCCAAGATCTCACCCTATGTGGATGCATGGTCTCTCTGTTTCCTTTAACTGATTCATCATGCTGCAGTCAGTGGACCCCAAACAGACTCATTTGCTGTGTTTCAAAATCCATTATTGGAAATTGCTGTTCACTGTCCTCAACAGTAGAGGATGATGTTTAATTTCTGTGGTGCTTTTTGCCTTATGATTTCAGAGATATGTATGCTGTATTCATGCACCGACTGCCACCATCCACATGGTGTTAATTTCCTCAAAAATGTTGACGATACGTTTTCGTTGACAAACTTTTTTTTTCATGACTAAATTCTAACGACAGCTCAAATGAAAAAATGGTTGACAATGAAAATCTCTGTTCGTTATGCTCTGATGAGTAAGGACAAGATGAATTTGCTGGCTATCTTTGGGCAGGCAATCTAAACCAGTAATTAACGCTAAGGTCACTGCACGGTTTTAGCCCCAAGTTCGCCGACAGTTTTGGGAAATTGCCGACAAACCCCAAGATCGGAGGCCAATGGATGCTGGCAATTCAGCGCTTGATCACAGTGTGTGGATGCGTTGCAGACGTCTCAGATATCCATCCATCCATCTATCACCACCTGCTTCTCCGGGATCCGAGTTGCGGGGGTAGCAACTTCAGGAAAGATACCCAGAACTCCCTCTCCCCAGCCACCTCTTCGGGGGGATGCTGAGGAGTTCCCAGGCCAGCAGAGATATATAATCCCTCCAGCATGTCCTGGGTCTTTCCCGGGGCCTCCTCCCTGTAGGACATGCACGGAAAACCTCTCCGGGTATCCGCCCAGGAGGCATCCGCACCAGATGTCCAAACCACCTCAACTGGCTCCTTTCGACGTGAAGGAGCAGTGGTTCTACTCTGAGACTCTCCTGGAGATCCGAACTTCTCACCCTAGAATAGTACAGAATAGAATAGAATAGAATCAGGCTCAGTTCTTTTTTGGCTACGACGAACCAGTTAAGCGCCTGTAAAACTGCAGACGCTGCTCCTATCCGTATAGCCAGCTCTCGATCTCTTCTACCATCACTCATGAATGAGACTCCGAGATACTTGAACTCCTCCACTTGAGGCAGTACCTCCTCCCTGACCTGAAGAGGGCAATCCACCCGCTTCCGGCTGAGAACCATGGTCTCAGACTTGGAGGTGCTAATTCTCATCCCCACTGCTTCGCACTCAGCTACGAACCGCCCCAGAGCACGCTGGAGATTCCAGATGAAGCCAACAGGACCACATCATCCGCAAAGAGCAGTGAGGCAATCCTGAGGCCACCAAACTGGACACCCTCAACACCCTGGCTGTGCCTAGAAATCCTGTCCATAAATATAAATAACAGGACCGATGACAAAGGGCAGCCCTGGCGGAGCCCAACCCGCACTGGGAACACGTCTGACTTATTACCGGCAATGCGGACCAAGCTTCTGCTCCGTTCATATAGGGATTGAATCGGCCGCAGAAGCGAGTCCCGAGTACCATACTCCCGAAACACCCCCCACAGAGCTCCTTGGGGAACCTGGAAGTAAGCCTTCTCCAAATCCACAAAACACATGTAGACTGGATGAGCAAACTCCCGGGCTCCCTCCATTACCATCGCTAGGGCATAAAGCTGGTCCAGTGTTCCACGGCCAGGAGGAAAACCGCATCGTTCCTCCTGAATCTGAGATTTGACTATTGATCTCACTCTCCTCTCCAGTACCCCGGAATAGACTTTCCCAGGAAGGCTGAGAAGTGTGATCCCCCTGTAGTTGGAACACACTCTCACACTCATGGTCCCCTTTCTTATATAAGGGGACCATCACCCCGGTCTGCCAATCCAGTGGCACTGTCCCTGACCTTGAGAAGGCGTGTCAGCCATGACAGCCCCACAACATCCAGAGCCTTCAGGTACCTCGGACAAATCTTGTCCATCCCTGAGGCCCAGCTGCCAAGGCACTGTTTAACCACCCTGGCAACCTCAGCCTCAGTGATGGGCAAGTCTGCCCCAGCCCCCTCTGGCCCCATGCCCTCTGATGTCTCGAAGGCGGTGTGCGTAGATTAATCTGAGGCAGGGTTGAGGAGGTCCTCAAAGTATTCCATCCACCTCTGGGTGATGTCCCCAGGTAAGGTCAACAGCAGCTCCTCCCCACTGTAAACAGTAGAAACCAGGAGCTGCTTCCCCCTCCTGATATTCCGGACAGTTTGCCAGAACCTTTTTGAGGCTGACCGAAAGTCACTTTCCATGGCCTCACCAAACACCTCCCACGCCCGGGTTTTTGCTTCCACAACCGCCCGAGCCGCATACCGCCTGGCCTGCTGGTACCCATCAGCTGCCTCTGGAGACCACCGGGCTAATAATCCCGGTAGGCCTCCTTTTTCAGCTTGATAGCCCCCTCACCTCTGATGTCCATCATTGGGTACGGGGGGTATCCTCCACGACTGGCACCGACCACCTTGCAACCACTGCTCTACACGACCGCTTCCACAATGGTGGTTTAGAACAATGTCCCTTCAGACTCAATGTCCCCAACATCCCCTGGTACATAGATAGAGCTCTGCCGGAGGTGCGAACAGGATCTGGCAAACTGGAGCCTCTGCCAGGCGTTCCCAGCAGACCATCACTATGCGCTTGGGCCTGCCAGACCTGACCGGCTTCCTCCCCTGCCATCTGAGCCAACTCACTACCATGTGGTGATCAGCTGACAGCTCTGCCCCTCTCTTGATCCGACTGTCCAAGACAGAAGACCGCAGATCAGCTGATATGATTATAAAATTGATCATCGACCTGTAGCCCCGGGCATGTTCGTACCATGTCCACTTATGGACACCCTTATGCTTGAACATGGTGTCTGTTATGGACAAACCATGTATTGCACAGAGGTCCAACAACAGAACACCACTCGGGTTCAGATCAGGGAGTCCGTTCCTCCCAAACACCCCCCTCCAGGCCACACTGTCGTTGCCCACGTGAGCGTTTAGTCCCGCAGCAAAACATTAACAATGGAATGCCCTCATGGTGTGCTAACCAGCACACCACTCAGGGAGTCCAATAAGGCTGGGTACTCTGAACTGTCATTCGGCGCATAGGCACAAATGACAGTTAGAGACCTCTCCACGACCCGAAGAAGCAGGGAGACTGTCCTCTCGTTCACCGGGGTAAACGCCGATGTTAATGCACCGAGCTGTGGGGCCACCAGTAGCCCCATCCTAGCCTGGCGACCCTTACCTGCTGCAACTCCAGAAGAAAAGAGCATACAGCCCCTCTCCAGGAGATTGGTTCCAGACCCCATGCTATGTGTTGAGGTGAACCCGACTATACCTAGCCGGTATCTCTCAACCTCATGCACAAGCTCAGGCTCCTTCCCCACCAGAGAGGTGACATTCCATGTCCCGAAAGCCAGTTTAGTCAACTGGGGATTGGTCCACCAGGGTCTCCCTTGGCTGCCTCCTGATCCACATTGCACTGAACCCATGACATTCCCCTTGCGAGTGGTGGGCCCACCTGGGGACGGTCCCATGCACCTCTTTCGGGCTAGTCCCGGCTGGGCCCCATGGGCCAAAGCCCGGCCACCAGGCGCTCGCCAACGGGCCCCTCCCCCAGGCCTGGCTCCAGGGTGGGGCCCCCGGTGACCCTAGTCCGGGCGAGAGTAACGAGACCTTGCTGTAATACCTTTTCATCATTATTTGGATTGCTCTTTGTCTGGCCCCTCACCTGGGACCTTTTTGCCTTGAGAGACCATACCAGGGGCAATTGCCCCAAACACCATAGTCCCCAGGGTCACTGAAGCACGCAAACCATCCACCACGATAATGGTGGAAATCCAAGGAGAAGCCCTCAGATATCTAACATGCTAATTATCTGGACCTGTCAGCAACTCCAAATCCTGTCGGTGTAAAAGGTGCTGTGACTGGCAAAGAGTGCAGCACAGGCCCAGTTCTAGACTGCATTCAATGGGGGGGCAGTAAGTGATGTTGGTGCGTCATTTTGACCACACACCCATAATACAAACACCCAGTGTTTTTTTATTTAGGAAAAGGGGTGTCTATCTCAAAATTAGTCAGTGAGTCATCATTTCTCATCTGCCTCAGAGCCTGTAGAAATGCACTGACTACTTCACCAGCAAGGCAAAGGTCAACAGGAGGAGCCTGTAAAACAGCATTTGCAGGCTTCAAGGCGCCAAGCACTTTCAGAAGGAATCTGCCTCTTTCAAAGAAATTATGTTTTCTCAGCATCATCAACAAACCTGCCTCTGTGCAAATACTCACATCTGCTACACTGTTCTCTGAAATCTCTGAAAGGAAACTAAGGATAGCAGCCTGATTTTCCACAAGACACTTTGCCACATCGTGGTGACTTGTCCACCGAATCTCCAGCAGGTGTTTTTTTTTTTTGTGACACGTAATGACGATGGAACAAGGACTGTAGTGATCTTGATAGCTCAAAAAATGTTTTTGCACATGGCTCTGCTTCCACTGCATGAACCACTGCTAAGTGCAGCTGGAGATTATAGCAGTGGATATAGGAAATATATTTATCTATCTTGTTTTGAATGACGACCTGGACCCCAGCCCTGATCCCACTCATAACTGAGGCCCCATCGTAGCACTGACTAATAATTTGGTCAGCACTGTCATTTGAGTCAGGAAGATGATTTACTGTTTCACTTGTGGCACTGATAGTTCAGTTCAGTGCTTGAAGTG